GGTGGGTTTATGGCAGCTCTTTTGCATCACAAGCAGGGATTCTCAGATCTCCAGATTACTGACAAAGGACTTAGGGAGGACTGGTGCACCAAAGATATGTTTGGATACAAAAATCTGAAGCAGAAGTAGGATGTGTTCTCTATATGCATTAATGTAATAATTTTAATTTTCTTTTCAATTTCAACTAAAACTGTATGATACACAGAATCCATAGAAACAGACCTAGTTGTTTTTGCTTTTTAATTAATGTTTTGAAAGTATGATGCTACAGATTGGCTTTAACAAAGTCTGTATTGACAATGACTGATATGCTTAAAAAAGGAATTTAAAACCAAACAAAGGAAGGTAAAATGCTGAACAGACCTAGAGTTCATTGTGTTTAATGAGTCGACAGTATTGACATATTGGTTACCTTTTCATTCAAGCACACAGGGTCCTGTTCTAGAGAGTTCTCAGACAAGACAAATTTTTCACTGAACAATATTTATATCCTACCCAGACAATTGGGCTCTGTCAAAAGGTGACAGTCTTCCTTAGTGAATTCCGTATGGTATGTAGAATATTTTTTTTCTCAGACATTTGTTTAAAAATGTGCTACATTGTATTTTATACTCCATCTGAATGGAATGCAGAGAAGTATGATTTATTATGTAAAAGAGAACAAATTACACACAGACAGCACTGGCAATAAATTATGATACCAGAAGCAGCATAGCATAGCACATTAGTTGTCATTGTCTGTCTGTGATATCAGTACACATTTTTTGCATGTGGTTCCAAGATATAGGCACAAGATGGCATCTATGGAGACTTTGTGATGCCAGTGGGATCTGGGATTATTTCAGCTTAGTTTATAGGCATAATAGGTAGTGTATTGCTGCCATCAATTTGTGAGATTCTGATATGTCTGGAAAAAAAACTCCTTCCCACATCTTCCAAGTTCTTCCAGCCAGGCAGAACAGCCTTACTAACTGGAACCCCATTAAAAAAAGGCCTTGAAGCAAGAAGGACCAATTTGCTAACTGATAACTCTGAAAATTCTTAATAAAGATCAAAAGTATATTAAAAAAAAAGAAAAGCCTTGCCCCAGCCGTCGGACACTTTCAGCCCTAAAACAGGCTTGGAGACCTTGTTACGTGTAGAAGGATGATTCAAGCAGCATATGGGAACGCTAAACCATAGATAGATAGCTGGATAGATAGATAAGTGAAGGTTAATTAAAGGCTAAGTTCATAATTAAAAAAAAAATAAAATAATTGCAGGTATAAAAAAATGTGCATTTAATCTGCAATCAGCAGATTGCCGGTGCCATGCAGGACTGTCAGTGTGAGCTGTCTGTCTACACATTGCACGGGCAGGCAGTTTCACACTGACAGGAAGAATCAAACTACAAGAGCCTTTAACAGCAACATGGTAGTTCACTGAGAACTACAAGCCAACATCTGCAAAGAATTTCAGTACTCTGAATGAATGAACCAACCAACCGTGTGTGCAATGAACTTATCATCATACTGCGGTCTCACAGAGGATCACCAAGCAGCTACAGGCGTGTGAACATGTTACATGTTCCACCCTAAAAATGGGTAGAACATGTAACATGTTCCTGAAGGTGAACGTATCCTTTACTCTATCTATGCTTTTTGTGGGAAACATAACTGATACCCACAAAGGAAATCCACACAGAACTTACAAACTCCATGCAAATAGTGCAGTTAAGTGAAAATTCAATTAAATAGGTGGCAATTAAACCTCAGAACTGCCGGGCAAGCGCTCAGACTACTTGTTAGTAAATTATTCAACCCCACAGCTAATAGACTTTGGAGTTTAAAAGCATGTGCAGTAGTGCAAAGAATACAGCACTAAGTGCCGTTACATTTAGCAGCCAATAAGAATTCATCTTTCCTTGATATTACATTTGTAATGTGATTGCAGAGGTTTATTGCAGAAGCCAATAAATGGTAATTTGAAGTAAAGTATAAACAAAAAACTCTTCTTCAGGTTTTGGTACATGCAAAAGAGAAAAGTACAATAGAGAAAGTAAAAAGGGTAGAAGAGGAGAGCTCTATGGACATTTTAAAGTTACCTTTAAAGCAGGTATTTCTAATTAGCCTTACAAAAACACTACACAAGGTATGCCATAGATTAAACCAAGCAAACTGAACAAGAATCCAGACTAGTTTTACTGAGGATCCAAAGGCAAAAATACTACACTTAGGGAATTAAATTTCCAGATACGTACTGTACATCCTACTTGACTAATCACCTCCCCTGCTGCCAGCACCACCTGCATCCTTTAGTGGCATGGTGGCCGCCGGAGAAACTAAGTGCAGCAAGGGATAACAAAGATCAACCCTCTCTGAAGTTTTGGCTACCAAAGAAAATTGACCTGCCAATTTCATTCAAATGGAATGACATTTGCCAGCGTGGACAGCAGGGGAGGCATTTACATTTTCCTTTACAGGTAGATCTTTAATTAGTAAGTTTATTTATTATTTAATTAGCAAGCTGAGTTGCCTTATTGGGCTAAAAAAAAAAAATCTCTTTTAGTTTCCATTCTTTAAAAATACAGAGGGCCACACAGAGTAGGAGGACCCAATGCAGCCCATAACATACCAGTCTGACATCATTTTGTTTCCCATTACTAAGGGCCAGCAGTAAATGTGTGCATTTGCTTAATTGATGTGAGTTATTTTATTTATTTATTTCAGGTACTTATATAGTGCTGTCAATTTACGCAGCACTTTACATATATTGTACATTCACATCAGTCCCTAACCCTCAAGGGGTGGACAATCTAAGGTCCCTAACTTACATTCATACATACACATACTAGAGCCAATTTACACAGGTGCCAATTAACTTACCAGCATGTCTTTGGAGTGTAGGAGGAAACCGGAATACCCGGAGGAAACCCACACAAACAAACAGAGGGAGAACATGCAAACTTCAGGCAGGTGATGTCGTGGTTGGGATTTGAACCAACGACCCTAGTACTGCCAGGCGGAAGTGCTAACCATTTAGCCAGGTTACGAGTTACAGTGTTAGAAAAACTAGAGAACAAGGAAAAAAACATGTTTCAGACTCAGCAGTTAGTGTACAGAACTCGAATTACCTTTAGATTTGTAATCATATACACCATGAACTAGCTATTTTCCCATTTAACACTGATTTTACCAAAACCACCAAGGAATTAAGTTACCATGTGCTGGAAAAAGTGCAGTCCGACAAGCATGTGTGCGTCTTTGTAGACTCAACTTAGTTAGAGTTAGAAAGGTTAGGATCTCTGCCAGTTATATTTGCTATTAAAACAGGAAGTGAGGCAAACTCTCCCCTATGGAGACATAGCACTCTCCCAACAAAAGTGTGTTTCTTGCAATCTGTGTACATGGTGGAGGGGTTTCTTTTCACTTCCTGCCCCATTACAATGTTGTAGGAAATCTCACCTCAATAAAACTAGACCAAGATTTTAATCTTTCCCTGCTCTGTACAAAACAAATGTTTCAGCTGCAGTCCCGCCTTACAGGCCCAGCTTAGATTTTACAACAACAGAACAATGTCCTTTTTTGACAAGAGTTTGCAGCATTCACCGATCATGTTGATGAGCTGTCGACATTCTTGGGCCTTGTCAATCAACTGAGAACTTCTAGATAGTTTTACAAAACAAAATAGCTTTCTCACACAAGCACGAGATTCCATCATTTCCCCAATTTTTTTTTCTTTTCTTTCATTCCAGTCTATTATCCCCTTCACTTTATAACTTAGAGGAAATGCTTCTGTTTTTTCTGCACTTTCGTATTGTATTGTTCACTCTTAAATGGAAGTATCCGCAGATAGCAGGTTTGATTTGAATTTGTGTAACCTTGCCTTGAATAACAACATTGTCAAATAACCATTAAAAACCCATACCAGTGATTTAATAGAAGTAAAAAAAAAAAAAAAAAACCAATAGCTTTTGACTGCAGTTTCTTCATTAACTTTTAAAGGATGTTTTCAGTAGTCGTTAGTACAAGCACAAATGTGTTGTAAATAGGATACGGCCATAGTTGTGACTAGAGTAAAGGGAGAATGCTCAGACAAAGGCATTTTCCCTTGGTATGTACTGATTAAAGGAGGTCAGCAAGCTAACTTGTGCTGCACACTGCTTCCGACATTATTAAGTTCATTCATTAAACATGGTGTGGGGAATGCAGAAGTGCGAGGGACCTGAGGTCAGTAGGTTTAATACGGCTTTGATTCAAATACACACACTTCGTTGGGAGCAAATTGATTCTTTTAACCCCAATGTGCTGAATGGTTGCTTGGCATTTGTGCTCTAGTTAGAAATGTTTACACAAAAGGGACATTGAAGCCTGTAACAGACACACAAGTACATCAATACCCTGGTTTTACAGCACTGTATAAGCCTTATTAGTAAGGTCAAATTTCCATTTGAATCGGGAAAGATTTATTTATTTCATAACATTAAGGAAACAAAGATTTTTATTACATTTGCCAACTAAAATGATAATTTTGTTGAATTGTTTGTATTTTATAATATAGTCTGACTTTCACAGGTACAAACTTTAACCACAAGCCTATAGGGCACTTATACTTCCTGTCCAGGCCAATTTCCAGCTTTCAGCGCTGTCACACTTTGAATGACAATTGCGCGGTCATGCAACACTGTACCCATATGAAATTTTCATCATTTTTTTTGTGACAGATAGAGCTTTCTTTTGGTGGTATTTTTCACCTCTGGGATTTTTATTTTTTCTTAAACAAACAAAAAACCACTGAAAGTTTTGAAAAAAAAATTTTTTTCTCTTAGTTTTTGTTATAAAATTTTGTAAATAAGCGATTTTTTTCTCCTTCACTGATGTGCGCTGAGGCTGCAGTGATGGACACTGATAGGTGGCACTGATAGGCACTGATGAGGAGGCACTGGTAGGTGGCACTGATGGGCATTGACAGGCATCACTGATGGGCACTGAAAGGCTGCACTGATAGGCGGCACTGACTGGCATTGTTAGGCGAAAATGATAGGTGGCACTGATTGGCATTGATAGGAGGCACTGACTGGCACTAATGAGTGCCACTGAAAGGCAGCTGAGTTGGGCACTGATATGTGACATTGATGTGCACTGGTAGGCACTGATATGTGGCATTGATGTGACACTGATGGGCACTGGCACGTGGCACTGATGAGCACTGACAGCTGGCACTGATGGACACTGACAGGTGGCACTACTGAGGCTACACTGATCATCAGGGCACACTGATCATCAGTGCTCTGATGATCAGTGTACATGTTCCCTCCACGGAATGCCGATTACCGACTCTCCTCTCCTCTCGACCTGTCAGTGTGACAGCACGAGAGGAGAGAAATGCAGATAACTGGCATTTCCCTGTTTACATGTGATCAGCTGTGATTGGACACAGCTGATCACATGACCGAGCCGACATCTTCGGTTCTTTCTGTGGATCAGTGATCCGCTGTGTCCCAGAACAAGAGAACCATCTTGTGTCCGTCATATTAATATATGGCGGGCGGGAGGTGGTTAAAAGAAGTGAGAATTCAAGCAACATTTCAATTTGCTTGCATGTCTACCCAGTCCTAGTGCTTTAAAGTGGAACTCCAGGCAAAGAGAAAAGGACCCATTTAAAATACATGCAATTTTTTTGTTTTACCTTCACAATGATTTGTAAGCTCCACGAGCAGGGCCCTCCTATTCCTTCTGTACTGAGATGTATTGTAATGTCTCCCTTTATACTATAAAGCGCTGCGCAAACTGTTGGCACTATATAAATCCTGTGTAATAATAATAAGATTTGCAGTTCTATCACTCTTCTGATTCATACCCTGACACCACTCTGCCTTGAGCCTGCTTTTTGGACAATAAAACATCATCTCTGACCAATCAACAGTAAGCTGGAAACTCTAATGGTGAACTAGGAACACTACTGGCCCGTTTACACATACTGTACACGATGTGTGTTCACATACAGGTACATATACACAGTGCTTCCATTAAGAATGATTTAAATATGGTGAATACTATCCTGCGTGCTCTGTGTCCCATAGACACATTGCCCTTAAAGTGTAACTAAACCCAGGACCCTGCAATTATTATATCTGGGCTCCCACAGTACACACAACATGGAAATGCAATTATTTTAGTAAATATAAACTGCTATTTACCTCTCATCAGCAGTATATAGCCGTCTTGTGACTTCTATCAGTGTCCAGCAGAGCACTGGTTAAAGCTTGTAGAAGGCGTTTTCACTCTCCTCTGACTGTCCTGTGAGGGCCCTTGACCCTCTGTCTGGACAGTGCTGATTGGCCCTGTGCTCATCACATGCATCCTTTCAAAAAAAAAAAAAAAACTCTCTAGCAATACACACCACACAGAGCATGAGCAGAGTGACTCCTAGAGCTCTGTACTATCAGCAACTGGATTAATAACAGTAGAAGAAGGGGGGATCAGAGAACATGGGATCAAACAGCCTTTTCACACAATGCAGAGAAGTAACCCCTTAGGTTCCTCAGTGAGTATAACAAGCATACTTTACTGCATATACAGACTGATTTTACTGCTGTGGGTTTAGTAACACTTTAAGTGGACCTCCACACCTTATCTGACTGGAATTTTGATCATAACAGGCTTATTTCTTTTGAAAAACATACATATTTTTTAGGAAAATAAATGACGAAGGTTGATGCGATTTGGTCACAACAGCTTGAGTTTATGTCCCCTGTATTGGGATAGTATAATTTTGGTTTCAAGTATTGGTGTTTATGTATGGGGATACACAATAATTTTTTTCTTGTAGATGTCTTCTCTTGGTCATTTATAGCTGAAGTGACTTTATAACTTTCCATCAATATACTAAAATACTCTAAGGAGTTATTAGGTTTGTTGTTTTGTTGTTGTTTTTCTTTCCTTGTTATTTGTGATGCCTTGTATGGCATGTTTTGTATGTTTTGTTTGTGTTTTTTAAGATTCAAAATGTTTCTAAATAAAATCTTATACAAAAAAAGAATGATTTAATTAGAACAGCAAAATGCACCTGTACTATAGTGCACCAAAACCCCCAGCCATACCTCACAACCTTCTTAGATAGAAAAAAGGGCACCTTTTAATGCAAAGTATGTATTAAAAAGAAACACCCCCAGTCAGTTACACAAATCATAAAGAATGAATACATGATCTTGATAAATGGTTGGTTAAACCAATATGACCTTTTTCACCATAAAATTACTACCTTTTGGTAGGTATATAGTGCATTTTATAGAGGCCTAGCCAACAGAGGACCACCGATCAGCCAATTAAAATGAACTGCACATCATCACACAAAAATAATGCATTAATGCGACATGGTCCCAAAATAGAACTTTCTATGCAATGTGGCAGTGGAGAGAGAATCACAACAATGGTTGACCAAAATTGAAAATCATTTGGCATGCAGAACACTTACAATAAGTGTATTACATTGGCTTATTTAGCTCTTTGCCTAGAATGCCACTTTAAATATGTGTTAAGTTTAATAGAAAAAAAAAAACAGAATGTAAGTGAAACATTTCTACGAGTTATGTAATATATGGAAGAAAACGTTAAGTTAAAAATGAGAATATTAGCAATTGAAAAAAAAAAAAAAAAAACACACACACACACACACACACCTGGGTGTCTACAGCACCAACCCCAGCTGCAGCTGTTTCTCGCCGGCTCTACACTGGGAACTGAGAGATCATAGACCACTGATCGCTTAGTTCTCAGTCTTCAGTCAGTGATTGTCAGTCACCAACTCTCTGCTCTGCACTCACTTGGGAACCGGGCTGTGGAGGGGGAGGGAGCTGCTGACTGAGGCTCTCAGAGGCATGCTGAGAGGTTGAGCCAGCTGCCGGTCCAGACATCTGGGTGGATCCCATTAAAGTTAGGATCTTTCGAGAGCCTGGACCAGCCTTGTGACATTAGCTGACAGTGGGCCAGAGGAGTGCAGAACTAAGTGCACTTCGTTGACACAAAGGAGAATTATAGCCAGAAGAGCGTTGGCCTTACTTCTCCTTTAATGATCACACTATAGAAGTTTAAAAATAAGTACTGTAAATGTGTGCATATCTTGTCACATATAGTGTGTCCCTTTATCTTATGCAATGAAGTGCTTTAAGTGTTTGCAATATTTTGCCTGTTGCTCCCACTACTACAACTAAAACTGTCACCTATCTATTTTCATCATTGACAGAAGGAGGGGCAGTCATAATAAAAAACAGGTTCAGTACAAATAAGTAGAAGAAAGGATATTTGATAGCATCTGTCCATAAATGCCTAACCTTATTTAAGCCGATATCACATATTGCCTTGGTACTATTATCGTGGAAAGCTTGGTTTATATTATTTTTCATTATTATGGTGGATAATAAGGTTAGGCATACGTATGAGTACATTTCAGCTTCCCTTTGTAAAACAATACGTTACCAATCTGTTTTCATCTATAGATCACACCGTATATTTGTGGGTTTTTTTATTCCATCACAGAGGTGATATCCTACATTGTAAATTCTAACAAAAGTTGTCACCGAACTCATGGTTGGCATCTGGCATTATATGCCTTCTTCCAGGCTGTAGCCATGTCATAGTGATGTAATAGAGTCCCAAGTGAATTCTCTTAAATATCCCATTACAGCCAGCTAACTGCATGGGAGTGGTAGGTATGTTGCTCCTTTAGATATAGTAAAAGAGCATGTTAAGATATATTAAACAGGAGGAACAATCAAAGCTTGTCTGTTAATGAAAGTGTAGTATACTTGAAATAACTGATGCGTTTATGCCCTAGCTATAAATCTGCCCATCATGCTGTCTGTTGTCTCTGAAGCACTTCAAAGCCAGAATGAGTGTGACTTGCTGGTCTCTTAGGTAACATAAATGGTCTGTACAGAGTGCAGATTGATGGCGGGACAGTGATTAATATCTGACATTCTAGGTTCTGAAAGTTTTAGGTTCTTATGCTGTATCAGAGCTGCTTAGGATGACAATTGCGAGTTGGGAATAGGAATTGTAGACAATAATATTTCCTTTTTAACAAAGTTTCTTTGGAATATCAGCTTGACAATAAATATAGGTAAGTTCTTTTTTACAGATTAAAAATGTAATCTTGAGAGCTTCGTTATATTTGGGAGGAAGGTCACTCCAATTATGTTCTCACTGAAATTAATAAAAGATCTTTACTCTATAAATTAACCCATTGACTGAATTGATTGCCTATGGGCTTCAGATGGCCTTTGATCATGTGAGTTGAATATGACTTGCTTAAAGAGACCCCATCGGCAGACTATTTCGGTAAAAATATTTCTATAAAATTATGTGTTTAAAGTGGTTGAAAACATTGAAGGTTTTTTACCTTCATGTACTCTGTGCATGAAGGTTAAAAAACCTTCTGTGAGCTGCTCCCCCCCCCCCCCAGAGCCCCCCAAATACATACATGAGCCTGATCTCGATCCAGCAATGTGCACAGGAGCCTTATTGGCTGAGACACAGCAGCAGGATATATTGGCTCCCACTGCTATCAATCACAGCCAGCAGGGGGTGAAGCTGAGCCAGGCTCTGTGTGTCTTATAAACACACAGAGTAGGGCATAGGAGTGACCAAGTACCGATTCCCCCCAGGGAAAGCGGCTTGCTCTGGGTGCACAGCAGGGGGAGAGACCAGGAGTGCTGGAAGGGGCTCAAGAGGAGGAGGAGGATTGGGGCTGCTCTGTGCAAAACCATTGGTATGTATGACGTTTGAGACAGCACTGGACCAATCTTGGTCAAATTGGAGAAGTTTTTAGCCCTGTGTAAGCAAGTAATTCTCCAGTAATTTTTGTGGCTTATGCAGGACTTCCTTTCACTCTTGAAGGCTGAATGATCTGGTGGATAAGCAAAAGGAAGTTATGTGCAGTTGGGGAGGGCTAACAGAAAGTGTGCTCGTTGCTTTGCTCTCAAGGGCAAAGCACAGGTTCCCTTTAAGGGCAGTAACTCAGTAAAATGTTCTATTTACTTGCAAGCTCCGCTTGGAATAACTGGGTCCATTGAAATGGCTTATGATTTAGCTTTTTTGAATCCGTGGTTCTGTGATCTGCATGGGTACTCAAATTGTTTGTATCCTTGCAAAAATATGCACTGAATTTAATTCATTGCCTCTAAGGGCCGACTCACATCAGGAATCGCACAGGAATGCATGTTCCTGTAGGAGTCACATACATACATGTTTTGCAGGTGTGAAAGTGACAACATGTTTCACATTACATAGTTAGTCTGGCTGAAAAAAGACAAAAGCCCATCCAGTTCAACCATTAAAAAAAAAAAAGTTATAATCCTACGCCCACAGTGGATCCAGGGGAAGGCAAAAAACCCAGCAAAGCATGATCCAATTTGCTCCTGCAGGGGAAGAAACGCCTTCTTAATCCCCAGAGAGGCAATCAGTTATTCCCTGGATCAACTTTACCTATAAATGTTAATATC